TCTATTATTAGTCACTTTGTTTCACAACAACAATATGACAGGCACACACACAAAAAAAACATACATACATACAACATTGAACTAGAATTGGTTTTAATCTGAAACTACTTGACACTATAGGAGAACAAAAAAAGAGTGCAACAGGACTGAAGTGTAACCGAGTTGCGTGTTCTAATTTTTTTTCTTTTCTTGTGGAGAGGAACCATACTGTCATACTCCATACAGAGCTTTGTCCTTTCACTATAAACCTGTCGTACCTGTTTATCTCTCCTCCTTCTCTCTCTCTCTCTCTCTCTTTCTGTGACCCATCCTACTCTTTGCAGCTGACTTGCCATATCTAGCCTCAAGAAAAGTTGCTTAATGTTTGACAAGTAGGAAGGGCCATATCTATCAGCCTTAGACAACACAACGACACTCTTTTCCCCTTCTTGTCAAGAGTCTGCTTGCTGCTTTGGGTGCTTTGTGAAGGAGATTTGAATCCAAGACAGAACCAAAAAAAAAAAGCTACCATGGGTGAGTCAGTGCTATTGTTTTGTTTTATAGACGGAATTATCTCTTAGCTGTATTGTTTGCTGGAATCGGGGTTTGGTCATAAAATACAAAGTAAATAGCGAAATGAAGACAACACTGAGTTGCTTTGTGTCTGCTTCAAGTGCTGTTAATTTGATAGGTATTTTAAGTTGACATTCTCTCCTCTATCCACTCACCCCAACCGGTCGAGGCAGAAGGCCGCCCACCAAGAGCCGGGGTCTGTCGGAGGTTTCTTCCGTTAAAGGGAGTTTTTCCTCCCCACTGTTGCCAAGTGCTTGCTCAAGGGGGATTTGTTGGGTTTTCCCTATGTAATAATATTGATAACAGTAAGGTCTAGACCTTACTTTGTAAAGTGTCCTGAGATGACTTTTGTTGTGATTTGGCACTATACAAATAAAATTTGATTTGATTTGATGCAAAAAACACAGTGGCAGTGGTGCATGGATACCACTGCACAGACTGAATACGGTTATGCATTTTGCTTGTTGAATAGGTAAAGACTGATTATCCAGAGATCTTTTTATGTCAATACATAAAACGTAGTAAACTGACTGATGCTTTGGTAGTTTGTTGGGGTTTTTTTTCAGTTCAGCTCAGTTTCCTTAATGCTGCAAGAAAATGATGATTAGTGATAAAAGACAAACAGTATGGTTTATCTGGAATAATACAGATTCACTTCAGACCCTGGCTAACATTGGCTAGCTTCCAAAGCTTAGAGGTTGGTCTGAGTTTTAAAATGTCAGGACACATCACTTGCGAGCCAAGTATGCAAGCATTTGTGCAAAGAGTCTAATTTTCTGCCCCATTTACGGTTCCACTGTAGAGGTGCTGGTGCTGATGGACTTTGAGGGCATCACTGCAGACGAGATCACAATAAGAGTGGGGGATGTGGTGAAAAACGTCACTAAGGCCAGTGAGGAAGGATGGCTAGAGGGGGAGCTGAGAGGAAAGAGGGGCATTTTCCCTGCTAACTTTGTCAAGGTCTGTTAATGCTATACAGTCCACTGCATTACAATGTAACTGTACCATGTGTTTATTTTATGCACATGTCAAAATATGTGTTTTCGGTTTTTATTACAGGAGGTGCCAATCTACTTGATGGGTGACAGCTCAAGGGAACCACGAAGCCTTAGAAAAAGTACAATGCTAAGTCAATTCTCACACATTGTTCACCTGTTCACTGATAGTGTGAAAAGACCTCTCAGGCTAATACCTTCTGATTTTATGTGCCATTACTTAAAAAAAAAAATTAAAACATCTGCATATTTCATACATTGGACCCAAAATGAAATTACCTTTAATAATCTGTTTTTCAAAAGACGGAGAAATACCATCAATTATATCAAATGGCTCGCATATTGATCTGAAACAATTGAACCAGATGCGATTTTACTGCATTCTGGCATTGCAATGTCAGACACACTGTGTCAGTTCTAAATAATTACATTACATTTAATATTCAGAATAATTAATTGGTTTATAAAACTTTTTTCTACTGTAACTCAAGTGCTTAAAATTGTGGTCAGTGTGGTGCATGCACTCGGTACGACAGTGCAGCGAGTAAGCAGACAGTTTACCACATCCTCCACAGATAACCAAATTATAATGTAAGAAAACAGTGCAGATAAAAACACTACACCTTTGAGGGATCAGGTTTAGACATGAATGTGTGCCAAGTGCTTTGCAGTCTTAGCACTAGCCTGTTCAGACTTGAATACTCAGCTTTCTGTCAAGCTAAACATGCCATTACTGAGCTCTAGCTTCTCCATTAGTATTACCAGTGGACTGTAAACCTTACATGTGTCCGGTGACATAACTGCTGATTTTTCTCTTTTCAGCAAAGATGGTGAAACAAGTGAGGAAATGTGAGGTTTCCCTACAGCCCCATGAATCTAGATGAGCTGGAGCTGGTTGTTGGTGAGACTATAGAGATCATCAAAGAGGTAGAGTTCTTATCACTTCTCACTCAGTCACTTTTCAACTCAAATAACCAAAACACTGACTCAACACGCTCTGCAAATGAGCTGTGACAGACCACACGTGATGTGGCTGGAAGCAAGACATTATCGAGCTGGCTCCTGAACCATCTCACTAAACAAAAACCTGACCATTATATGTGAATCAGGGCAGTGATGAATCGCAGCAAACCAAAAAAAAAAAAAAAAAAAAACGTTTCGTAATATGATTTTATTTTTTACTGGGAAATACAATCTCTTTATCTGGCTACTGGGCTGTCACATTACAGCTTTATGAAAAAGTATGTGAACTGGTCTGACTAGTTCTAAGAGTCTGTATGGATGTTTATGCTATCGCATAATCACAGACATTGAATACACTGATTAACTCACATTTTTCTTGTTTTGCTCTCTTCTTGATGCAATCTACATGACAGATTGAAGATGGATGGTGGATGGGGGTGAAAAATGGAAAAGTGGGAGCATTTCCATCAAATTTTGTCAAAGAAATTTTTGTTTCCCCTAAAGGTAGGTAAAACCAAATGTTTGTGTATTTTAATTGTTCCTTTTTGGCATAAATTTTTTTTTTTTAAATCACTGAACTTTGTTATTCTCTTTACAGAGAGCAAGCACAATGAGGTCAAAGCAAGACCCAAGCTCACTAATTCTGTGTTCAATAAGGAAGTATGTAGTGCCAAAATAACTTCCTGAAACATGTATGACGCACATTTAACTTGTAATTAACTCTTTTTGTCCCCCATAAAGATAAGTCAGAAGGCAAGTGTGAGGAACAAAGGAAAATGTGGTAAGTTTACATTTTATTTTGCCTAAAGTCCAGTCACAAGCTGCTATGAAGGTTTTGTTTGTTCGTAAACACAGTTAAAGTGCTGGCAAAATTATGAACTAGACATTAAGGTGATACCCTCACCTTAGACACTGGCTAATATTTGTGAATATCAAAAGCAAAACAAGCAGGTCTACTTCCTGACGAACCCTGACATGTGAGAAGTGTTAATTCACGTACTTCTATTTGAATGGTTTATGGTTTGATTAATCAGAGGGTGACATCAGAGCGGAATGTCTGTCAGGGATCAAGGGTTTACAATCTTTATCTCCGCTTAGACACAACGCCCTTTATGCTGTTCTCCGAGTTAGTAATCTGAAATTTGCTTTCAGTGCTGATAAGTCGTCATTGAGAAAACCTGTTATTCTAACCACACATACTGTACAATAATGCTCAGTTCTTCAGGAGTAGTAATCATGTTATCTCATACATCTTCTCAGTGGTGGAGTGCTGCCAAGTCATGTTTGACTACAAGGCCAAAGCAGCAGATGAGCTGGATCTGAAAAAGGGGGACACTGTTGTGATACTGAGGAAGGTTAGAGCACATTTTATTGTTATTTGGCAGTGTTTCTAATCTGTCTGATGTCATGCTCTTTACAGACTGGAAGCTATTTATTTTCTGAGTAGTCACAGGTGTATCGTGATTGTCCTCCAGCCAAACCAGTCGTGTTACTTTCAAGGGAAAATATTTTCACAACATGACGCACATATTTAATTGATACAAATGTGGCAGTCACCCAGCTCAGTAGTGACTGTTTGGTAACCTCATGGGCAACAATTTCACGTCCCAAAGGGCCATGTCATGTTCAAGCTTCTAGTGTGTCTCTATGATCTCCATCTGAAGGACATAGAGGATGAAGGCTGGTGGGAGGGAGAGCTGAATGGACGCTGTGGCCTCTTTCCTGACAACTTTGTCATGGTTATACCACCAACGGACAATTTGCAAGTGAGTGGACCTGACACATACCTCATATATATCCTAGAGTTAGAGTGGAACTTCCTCAAAAATCAAGGAGTCGACCATTGACATGCTTTACAGTAATTAATACTGGCTATACCCTTTTCTTATTTTGAAATCTATTAAAATACAAAAGGACAATGTGTCCATCCTTCACCGACTGGTATTTGTAATGATTTACGAAGTTTGCAGCCAGTCCGCTGTGACTCAGGGTTGTCTTTAACATCCTCTGTTTTGGAATTACTCATTGAAAATTCCCTCAGTGGAAAGAATGTATAAAATATAAATGCCTCCGGTTCACATGGGATGTACTTGCCAACCTGCTGAATTTTGCATTTCTCTTCCTCTAGGCTGACACTACAAGACAACGGCCTGCGCGCAGTGGCTGCGTGAAAGTCACAGGTAAGAAAAGAGCATGTACTGATCAGACAGCAGCACAGGAACAAGGCCTCTTCAGTGGATCTATTTGCCTGATAGGCAAACCTAACTGTCCAGGACTTTGGGCACAATGGCTCCAAAGTGTACAAGTACCAGCCTCTAAAAGCATCTCATAACAGCAGGGGTGTGGGCCACTGGGCGTGTACATCACATTTAATTGTCCAGCTGGTAAAGAGGGAGCTAGTTTTAACTACCTCACATGCTTATAACTTGAATGACTTTACATAGTGCTGGGTAGCTTGTGAATTTCCTACCAGGGATGAATAAAGTCTTATGATTATACTATAATTTTCATATTAATCTGGTTTTGAAAAGTAAAATTACAAAATAAGTGTAATGTAGCATGAAAAAAAAAGTACAGTATTTGCTTCTAAAATTTAGAGAAGTTGTAAAGAAGCAGATACCTCAAAAAATGTACTTAGTTACTTTCCACCACTGAAATTAAATATAAATAACTCAATATACCTCAGGTGCTACCATTGTACTGGGTTTTCCTTATACAGATTTGGATTACCTTAAAGTTTTTGAATTGTCATTGTTAATGTATTCACACAATTATTACAGCTATTGGTAACTTAAAAAGAGTGAATGCATTCAGCCTTTGAAACAAGATGATCACCAAATCTATGAGCCAATCAGGGCAGGATGTGGTTTGTAGTCACATTTCAGCTGAGGAGTGGCGTCTATGGTGCAAGTTGCAAATTTAGCAAATTTCTGGACCAATATTTTTTTTAACAACTACATTTCCAGCTCTCCTTAGCCAGAAATTCAAAATGCATGCTCAAAACATTTTGTGGCCAAACAGGCAGGTGAAAACACTGCTGTTCAAAGTGCTCAGATACTCAGAGATGTCACCTGAACAAACTGAATACAGCACTATCTCACGTTTTACTGCCACCGTATTACGTTCATTACAGCTATTTTTATTTTCACACAGTATCAACAAGAACTCTCATGGGAAGCCTATAGTGAGGGGGGGGGGATGGTGAGACTGGTCATGTGACATGGTTCTGGAGTCTTAGAGGAAACAAGGGGGTGGGAGGGTTGTGGTAGGGGAGAGCTCTGTCAGAGAGATTTTCACAGTCAGTACAAGAAGCAGCACTTGAGCTACTACTTCTCTGGATGGTTTGCTCGAGAGGAAATGTTGCATTATGGTTTGAACAGTCAAGGTAGGCTCCCTGTGTTCTCATCTAGTCTGTTATTCACCTCCAAATCAGACTCCTAAGCATTATGCTAACTGTTGTTGTGCAATGTGGTAAAGCAGTTCTGCTACTTTGATTTGTGCTTGTATTTATTTAGCAGGGCTGTAACCTGGTTCCTCAGCCCTGTCTGTTATTAAGCGCTTAATGTTCATGGAAAACAGGGATCCCTCACATTAACTTCAGTTCCATGAGGCATCATAATTTAGCCATCTATTCTCTCAGTCTCCAAGGCAAAGCTCTCTCATGGACAGTATTATTATGAGTGGCTGTCCCTGATGAAGACCCTTGGGAACTGTTCTGCTATTACAGCTACTGCAGTAACATACACATCTTTGCTTTCCCACGCAACTGCTCTTAACCTAGAACAGAATCCATGGTGCCTTCTAAAGTAAACACATACAAAATTATCTTTCTAGCTAATAAAGTAAGCCCATGGCTTTTTACTGGCATTGTAACAGTTCTAAGTCATGTCAACAAAACCAATAATACTTTAATGAGTGTTGATTTAAGCAGAGCATATCACTGCTTTCATTTATTGCAGGAAAAGCCACACCTGCATGAGGTGTGGAAGCTCCAGTAACTTTATTAAAGGCAGATATGCTGAACCTGCTTGTTCTTTTTTTAGCAACAACCTGCTCGATACTTGTACAGTTTTATACACATACACACACCCACACACACCTGGGAAATGACAGATATTACTTAAAGAAACTTCCTCCTCATGGCCAATGTACTTGAAGTGACAATATCTCTATAGGATGTCACAGATTCATTGCCTTCTGGTGCCAAGTTACCCTGGTAGCTTTGTAAATGTATTGTTCAAAATTCTTTGTCCCATCTACAACTTAAGATCACAGGATACATATCAGCTCATGACTCCATATGCTAGGATGGAGATGGGAGAGGAGGCCTTCTCTTTTTCTGCTCCAAATACTTGGAACAAGTTGCTGAAAGAAGTTGAATTGGACAAATTGGTATCATTAACCAAATTTAAGATGACTGTAAACTCCTTGACATCTGTTTCATTTGCCAAGTCTCTGCAATTCCTGAACTAGTATGGCATTTTAAAGGAGTTGTAGTGACAGCTTTTTATGTGATTGTAATGTTAATATGTGGTTTAATCAATATTTAACTGTTTGTAATTTCCAACCCCACCATTTTGGCCACATATC